GAGGGAGTTTTCTCACTTCTCTCCTGATCCTCTTCTTACCTGACCATTCCTTTCTAGTCTCCTTTGGGGGATGTTTCTCTGACCCTGCGCCCCCTGGTGGAGGCCCTCATCACCTCATGCCTGGACTCTTCCAATAGCTGGGGGGGCTGTCTGCCTCAAGGCTCGCCCCACTCCTGACAATCCTCCATTCGGCCACTAAGGGGGATTTCCTAAAGAATAGGAACCACCACGTCACCGCCTTATAGTGGGGGTCACCTCCCTATAGGGAGCTATAGTGGCTCCCTATCGCCTCCAGGATCAAATATAAACCACTGGTTTTTAAAGCCCTTCGCAACCTGGCCCCTTCCTGCCTTTCCAGTTTTCTTACACCGTGTTCTCCTCCACATACTGCACCACCCAACGACATCAGCTTCCTGGATGTTGCTCACACAAAACACTCCAGCTCCAGACTATACCTTTTCCCTGGCTGTCCCCTGTGCCTAGAGCACTCTGCCTCTTTGGCTTCCCTGAAGGCCCAGCTCAAATACCATCCTCTGCAAAAAGCCTTTCCCTGGGGCAGCTAGGTGGTGCAGTGGATAGAGCTCTGGCCTCATAGTCAGGAAGACCTGAGTTCAAATCTGACCTCAGACACATGACACTTAACTAGCTGTGTGACCCTGGTCAAGTCACTTAACCCCAATTGCCTCACCAAAAAGCAAAAAAAAACCCAAAACAAAACAAAAAGCCTTTCCCACTCCTCCTTAATGCTCATGTCTTCCCTTTGGGATCAGCTTCATTTTATCCTGTATATACCTTAATTGTACATACCTGTTTCCAAGCTGCCTCCTACATTAGACTGTGAACCCTTGAAGAGAAGAGACAATTTTTACCCTTCTTTGTATTCCCAGGCACTTAACATAATGCCTGGCACATAGTGGGCACACAATAAATGCTTGGTGACTTGGCCTGTCAGAAGAGAGGAGAGGGCATATATGAAAGGTGTTGGAAAGGTAGAAGAGACAGGCCTCAGAAACACAATAGGCATGGGGGTCGGGGGTTGGAGAGTGAGGAATGGGGGGTGATACCCAAGTTGTGAATTTGGGTGACAGGAAAGGTGGTAGTACCCTCAACAATAATAGAGATGTTAGGAAGAAGATAAGGTTTTGAAGGAAAGATGACTTCCATCCGTTTTGGACATACTGAGTTTAAGATGTTCATGAGATGTTCAAAAGATAGTCGGAGATGAGAGTCTGGAGGTTGAAAGAGAGATTAGGAAAGAAATGATCACTGAATCCATGCTCATCAAGTGAAATAGCCTAGAGGGAGAAAAGAAGCCCCAGGACAGAACCTTAAGGGGCACCCATGGTTAGTGGGTGCAGCCTCACTGAAGAGCCAGCAAAAGAGGAGTGGTCAGACAAGTAGGAAGAAAGACAAGAAGAGAGCAGCATCAAAGAAATCTAGAGGGAAGAGTATCAAGAAGAGGGTGATCCACAGTGTCGGAGGGTGAAGAGAGGTCAAGAAGGAACAGGATTGAGAAAAGGCCGATGGATTCGGCAATTAAGAGATCATGGGTCACCCTGGAGAGAGACATTTCAATTGAATGATGAGGTCAGAAGCCTGAATGTAGACAGCCAAGAGAGGAAGGGAAATGGAAGCCTTCTCGAGGGAGGAGAGATATGGGATGCCAGCTACTGTGGATGAAATGATCAAGTGAGGGTTTCTGAGGATGAGTGAGCCATGGGCTGATTCGTAGGCAGCAGGGAAGCAGCCAGTAGACAGAGATTGAAGATTAGTGAGAGTGGGGATGAGAGTTGGGACAATCTGCTAGAGAAGGTGGGATGGAACAGGATCACCTGTGCATGTAGGTGGATTTGCCTCGGGCAGGGGCAGGACCACCTCTTTGGTTGAGATGGAGGAAGCTATATGGGAAGTGTGAGATGAGGAGGAGAGAAGAGGGAGCCCCTATCCAATGGTCTTTTTTTTCCTCCAGAAAATGAGGCAAAAATCTCAGATGGAAGATCTGGGGGGTGTGGATAGAAGATTTGAGGAGGGATAAAAGGTTTGGGGAAAGCACTGTGGTTAGCGGGATAGTAACTCCATTAAGGAGATATAAAAGGATTGCTTTACTGCAATGAAGGCTTCCATATATGACAAAAATCTGTAGTTGACCAAGTCAAGAGGGCTTTATAATTTTTCCCTAACTGGTCCCTGCCTAGTCTCGCCTTCTGCTATCCATCCAAGCAGATTGGTATTTCTAAAGCACACGTCTATGTGACCAAATCATTTTAGACTCAAAAGTTCAGTGTTTCCCTACTGCCTCTAGAATAAAATACAATTCCTCTGACATTTAAAGTCCTTCACAAGCTGGTGTCAACCTGTCTTTCTAGGCTGATCCCACAGCTCCATTTTATGTTCCAGACAGACTGGTCAGCTTGCTGCTCCCTATACATGACATGCTATCTCCAGCTTCAATACCTTCATACAAGGATATGTCCCATGCCTGGAATGTATTCCTTTTCCTCTTAGAATTAATAACTTTTTTTTTTTAGCTTTTACATATTTTATTTTTTTAACTTTTTTTTTTAGTTTTCAACATTCACTTCCACAAGATTTTGAGTTCCAAATTTCCTCCCCATCTCATCCCTCTCCCCACCCCAAGATGGCATGCATTCTGTATACCCCTTCCCCTAATCTGCCCTCCCTTCTATCTCTCTTCCCCTTCTATTTTCCTGTGGAGGATAGATTTCTATACCCCATTGCCTGTCTATCTTATTTCCTAGTTGCATGTGAAAACACTTTTTTTTTTAACTTTTGGGCTTCAAATTTTCTCCCTTCCTCCCCCCCCACCCTCATTGAAAAGGCAAGCACCTCGATACAGGTTATATGTGTGGTCATGCAAAACACTTCCACGGTAGCCATGTTGCGAAAAACTAAGTATACTTCCCCTCATCCTATCCCGCCCCCCCATTTATTGTCTCTTTTGACCCTGTCCCTCCTCAAAAGTGTTTGCTTCTGATTACCCCCTGCCCGAATCTGCTCTCCCCTCTATCATCCCCCTGCTCTCTTGTCCCCTTTTCCCCCTATTTTCCTGAAGGGTAAGAGGTTTCCATACCCAATTGTATGTGTATGCTAGAACCGCCTTAAGACAAATCGGATGAGAATAAGATTCACTCATTCCCTCTCACCTTCCATTTCCCCTCCATTGTAAAAGCCTTCTCTTCTGTTTCATGTTAAATAATTTACCCCATTCTACCTCTCCCTTTCTCCTTCTCCCAGTATAATCCTCTCTCACCCCTTAATTTTATTCTCCAGATATCACCCCTTCATCTTCAACTCACCTTGTGCCCTCTATCTATCTATATACACATACATATAATTTTTTCCCTCCAACTACCCTAATACTGACAAAGGTCTCAGTTACAAATACCATCTTTCCATGCAGGAATGTAAACATTTCAACCTTTATAAGTCTCTTATGATTTCTCTTTCCTGTTTACCTCTTCATGTTTCACTTGAGTCTTGTATTTGAAAGTCAAATTTTCTATTGAGCTCTGGTTTTTTCATCAAGAAAGCTTGAAAGTCCCCTCTTTCACTGAATGACCATTTTTTTCCCCCGAAGGATTAAACTCAGTTTTGCTGGGTCATAACTTCTTTCAAGTGCTAACTCCGATCTAAGACATTTCTGGAGGGCCCCCCCCATTTCTTAATGTTCTCCCCATACACTACTTGAAATTATGGTAATAGCTAACATTTATACTTTGCCTGCTTTGTGCCGGTGACTGTGCTAAGTGCTTTACAAATATTATCCTATTTGATCCTCACAATAACCCTGGGAGGGAGGTACTATTATTACTACCATTTTACCAGGAAAATGAGGCAAAACAGAGGTAAAGTGACTTGCCCAGGATCAACAGCAAAATAATAGCTGACATGCCAGGCACTATGCTAAGTGTTTTACAAATATTTTATCTTCACAACAACCCTGGGAGGTAGGTGCTATCCTGATTTTACAGATGAGAAAACTAAGGTAAGCAGAGGTAAAATGACTTGTCTAGGGTCACACAGCCAGTGTCTGAGGCTGAATTTGAACTCACGACTTCCTGACTCAACACTGTGCATTATGCCACCCATCTACTTCTGTGTAATTTTGTTGTTCTTGTCATGTGTTTCAGTCACACCCAACTCTCTGTGACCCTATTTAGGATTTTCTCGGCAGAGATATTGGAGTGGTTCGCCATTTCCTTCTCCAGATTTCACTGATGAAGAAACTAAGGCAAACAAGGTTAAGTGACTTGCCTAGGGTCACACAGCTAGTACGTGTGGGAGGCCAGAGTTCTGGGAGGCCAGATTTGAACTCGTTAAGATGAGTCTGATTCCAAGCCCAGTGCTCTATTGCTGAGTCACCTAGCCGCCTTGTGTGTAACACACGTATATATCTGTGTAAACATATGCTCCTGTATATTATACACACACATATGTGCATACGTGTGTAAACACCCCCACACACACATATTTGTGCATCTGTGTATATTATCTTCCTTCCACAGAATGGGTGCTCTTTGAAGGCTGATATGCCAGCGTAGTCCTTGACTCCCCGCACCGTCCGTAGGGTCTTGACCGAGTCTCGGTGGGTCCCTCCCAGGGCGTCCCTAAGGCTGGTTTCTCTTTGACACGCCTGCTCCCCAACACCCACAGAATGAGCGGGGGCCGGAAGCCCCCGGAGGAGGGGGACAAACGGGAAGCGGCAGCGGATCGCCCCAGGCTGCTCTGGAGGAAGCAGAAGCGGGTCCCGGAAAAGCCGTGTCCCAAGGCAGAGCCGACTTAAGGCTGCCCTGGCGCAAGACCTGGGACGTGGGGGCCAGTGGGGAGGAGGAGGGAACCTGGGCAGCGCAACGCAAGGCAGCGAGAAGAAAGGAGGCGGCGGCGCCGGAAGTGACGCACCAGAAACCTGAAGCGGAACTGAACGGCATCCTTTGCTCCCTTCCCGGCCCGGCCCCCCCCCCCCCCCAACCGCGCCTCCACGATGTAGCAACAAAACCTCCGGCATCTCTGCCCGCCTTTATTGCAGGGCGAGAGGAGGAGGAGGAGGAAGACGCGGAGCAGCGGCTTGGCAGCGGCGCTCAGCATGGAGTCCGAGGGGAGCAGGTAGGTTATTCAGTCGGTCAGTCCGTCAGTCGGTCTGTTGGTCGACGCGCGGGGGTGGGGGCGGCGGCGGCTGCGGCGCTGCTAAGCAACAGCGGCTCTGCCAGCCTCGCCGCTTATTGGCGGCCTCGGGACGGTCCCATCCTGACGGGGGGGAGCTCTGGAGAGGGGATGTTACCACCGTTCATTCCACGAGGGGGGAAGGAAAGAACCAGAGTTTCCCCCCTCCACCATCCCTCCTATTGGTGGCTTCCGGATGGTCTCATTCTGACCCTGGAGGGGACATTAACCACTGCCCATCCCATGAGGAGGGGAAGATCTCCTCCGCCGCGCCGCCTATTGGAGGCTCCGGACGGTCCTATCCTTACCATGGAGAGGGGCCGTTATCACCGTTCATCCAATCAGGGCGGAGAGACGCCCCTCCGCCCTGCGCCTATTGGTAGCTTCTAGAAAAGCACATCAAAATCTTCTGGTGGAGCTGGGGTCGGGTGGGGAACCTCACTGGGCCGTCGTTATGGGCCATGCACATGTTGGCCGCTAGGGGGCACCCACAATGCACTGGGCCCTGAATCAGGAAGTCCTGAATTCAAATGTAGTCTGTGATGACCCTTTCCAGCTGTGTGACCCTGGGCAAATCAGGCAACCCCAGGGGCCTCAGTTTCCTCCACGGTAAAATGCGATTAACAAAAGCACCCACCTCTCTGCTAAACCCAGTGCCAGGCATTCAGTAGGTGCTTAATAAATGCTTGTTTCTTTCTTTCCTTTTGGATCTGGAATGTTTTTATCTCTGCAGGAGGCAGGGGACAGAGAGAGGGACCCAAGTGGAAGCCCCTCTTGGCGCACTGCACTTGTTTGAGCTGGAGTCATTTCCCCACGATTGAACTTAAACCCCCTGAGGGCAGGCACTGTTTTGCTTTTGTCTTTCTCTTCCCAGCTCCTGGTTTCCTTCAGGCCCCAGCTAAAGTCCCATCTTTCCCAGTTCCTTTAATTCTGGGGCCTCCCCTCTTGATTCTCTCCAACATGTTCCAACTGTAGCTTCTTTGTAGAAGACATGCTGTCTCCCCGCCTCAGACTGTAAGCTCCTTGAGGGCAGGGATTGTCTTTTGTCTGTCTTTAGCATGTCCTTAGTGTGGTATCTGGCATACAGTAGGTGCTTAATAAAAGTATTGGCTGTCATAGCTGGTGCTTAATAAATGCTTGTCCATTGATTGGCTCCTCATCTTGGGGAATCTCAAGAGTATCATGTGGTTGTCCCCACTGCACTTGTGGGCAGACGGACACCTCATAACCAGTACAGTATAATACACATTTATTAAACATTTCCTCTGTGCCAGGCGCTGTGCTTCCTAAGCCCTGGGGATCCAAAGACAAATATGAATCACCCCCTACCTTCCAGGGGCTTACATTCTCTCCTGGAAGTATGTTGAAGAAGTAGGAGTCTCAAGGCTGAAATGAGCCAACTCACCCAAGGAAGGATGATGGGCAGAGCTCCAGAAAGAAGTCGGGCCTCTGACCCCCAGTTTCTTTCCAGGGAACCCAGATTTTTTTTCTTATTCTGTCTGTGTGTATTTTTGCCCGAGACTTCACTTTGTGGGTGCCCAGGCAATATTTAGCCACACAAGGCGTCAGTAGTTTCCTGTTTTGGACTTTGCCACTGGGATTTTTCTAGGGCCAGGTTTCCCAGAATGACTCATGGGTGTGGGAGGGTGTGCCCCTTGTGCAGAGCTGAACAAAACCTTCCTTGGAAACTGCCCTGTTGGCGCTGGAGTTGTGCGGGCTTATCCCGTGGGAGCCACGGATGGGGCTCCAGATTTATGGGGATTTATACAAGTAAAGATGCAAACATGCGTGCTCTCTTCCTGCTCAGAAAATACTGTTTAAGCATAAACATTCCAAGCCCCCAAGGCCTCGAACTTCAGACCACACATGTAACTCTGCAGGAATCAGAACTGTTGACATTAGTTTTATTTCTTCAGACAACTATAGTTTTATCTATTTATCATGCATCTGAATTGTCTGCTACCCCCCAGGGATCCGTGGCTCCTCTTGGGGTGGGGCTGGGGGCTGAGGGGGAGGACTGAGGGAGATTCCATAACCCCCAGTTTCCTTAATAATACACAGTATCAATCAATAAGCATTTATTAAACGCCTACTATGTGCCAGGTACAGTGCTAAATGCTGGGGATACAAAAAGAGGCAAAGGGTAGTCCCTGTCCTCAGGGAGCTTCCAGTCTAATGGGGGAGGCAACAGGCAAACAGATCTACACAAGCAGCTCTACAGTGGATAAATAGGAAAGAATTAACAGAGGGAGGGCAGTGGGATGAAGAGGAGTGGGGATGGATCCAGGGAGGTCAGTAGGCAGAGAGGAGGAGGGACCGCCAGAATGAGATGGAGACTGTTCAAGGCTGGAGGACCAGGATAGGGGCTGGGAACGTAGATGGTGGCCAGATTGCTCAAGGCTGGAGGACCGGGATGGGGGCTGGGAACGTAGATGGTGGCCAGGCGGCGCTGCAGTGGAGAGACCCGGGGCCCTGCTGGCCTCAGTTTCTTCCTCTGTAAAATGGGCTGAAGCAGTAAATAACACTCCACTCTGGTATCTTTGCCAAGAAACCCCGAATGCGGGCCCGAAGGTTTGGGCACGAGCGAAGACTGAATGGCAGGATGTGAGGCGCCTGGGAATTTGTGGGGTGGATGCTCTGTCCACAGATCCCAGGCGGCTTTCACTTATTGGCCCTCGAGATCGCCTGAGGCACCCTGCCCAGGGTCACACAGCTGGGACGGGAGGAGCTGGGATTTGAACCCAGGTCCTCGGCCTCCCAGCCCAGAACTTCCGCCCACGCCTGCCGCCTTCTTGTGATTGCCGGCCACTGTGGCACCGCCGCTGATGTGGGTCTTACTCTGTTTCTGTTTCAGAGACCTCATCTTTCCTACTCCCTCTGAGCCCAGCGAGGCCCCACTGCCCAACCTGACCCCGAGGCACCAGGAGCTGATCCCGACCCCCTGTGGTCCCGTAAGTAGCCTGGGCACAGTCCGGCCTGGGGAGAGGCGAGCCCCGCCAGGGCCTCGGCTCCGCTCTTGTCTTGGGTCACTCTTCGCTAGTTTGTGTTTCGGCCTGAAACCCGCTTATTGTCTCACCTTCGGGGTCTGTCCCTTATGCTTGCCGGGGTTCGTTAGGACTTGCGCCAGGGTCCAGCTCCCCCACTCCCTGCCCAGGACTCTTCTATTAAAATTCTTTGCAGGCGTCAAGATGGCACTGGGCTGGGAGTCAGGAAGACCTGAGTTCAAATCCAGCCTGAGACACTTCCTGACTGTGTGACCCTGGGCAAGTCACCTAACCGCCATCTGCCTTGATTTCCTCATCTGTAAAATAACAGCACCTGCCTCCCAGAGTGAAGATCAAATGAGATCACATTTGTCAGGTGCTTGGCACACAGTAGGTGTTCAATAAATGCTTATTCCCTCCTTCCATCCCTTCCTCTACTCCCTTTGTCTGTCTTTCTAGGAGGAACTGTGATTTTATTTTTAGAGAGAACTTCCAGGTGAGGAGACTGCCTCCCCCAAAGTCAGGCAGCACCTTCTCTGCCACTTCTGGGCTTCGAGAGTTGTCTAGATCCCCAAGGGGTTAGGAGACTTGCCCAGGGTCCCCTGGTTGATGGGGCTCAGAGACGGGACTTGAATCCACGACTTGCTGGCACTTCCCCTGAAGTCTTCTGCCTGAGTCGCTCCTGCCCCACGTCCAGGCGTGTCGTCTGCCCCCCATTCTCTACTTGGACTTGGGTTCGGGACCCAAGGGGAGAGCAAGACCCCGAGCTGCGGAAATGTCCGGAGGGCCTTGGGGCTGGAGGATTCCACTGGGTGTAGATGAGGAAGGAAGACGCCCTGTGCGTCCAGGAAGAGCCCTAGGAAGTTTGCTTTGGCCAGAAGGGGACGGCACCAAGGGTCTGCAGGCCTGTCAGTACACAGGGTCAGAGCCGGGCCTTAGGAAGGCTGTCTCAGCTGCAGGGGGGCAGAGCCCGGAGGCCTGCGACGACCAGGAGGGAGGTCATTCCCAGAGCCCAGGAGAGAAGAGGGGGAGGACGAGGAGGAGAGAGAGTGGGGGCCAGGGTGGGGAGGAGACAGGCAGGTGAGCGGAGGAGGGAATGGCATCAGAGGGCTGGATTGGACGGGGGACGGGGGGGACAATAACAATCGACTGGAATGGGGGGAGAGATAGATCGATATGAAAACCATCAGGGTTCTGGGCGTCATTCTCTCAGAGTCGTTTGTGGGGCAAGAGTGTGGGCGCCGCTGTGGGCTTCTCCAGCCTCAGCCTGATTTTTGAGATGCTTTCCACATTTCCTTACTTCCGCCTTCCCCTGGCCTGGCTGTAAAACACCCGGGGCCTGTCCCGGTAGATAGCTTGTGATTTCTGGGGCTGGGGCATGCCGTCACCCCATCTTTCACTTCTGGCCCTGGAGGGTTGCTTGGGACTTGGGACCTGCCTTTGACGCTCCCCCAGGTGACGTCCCTTTCTTTCCCTTGGCCTCAGTATGAGGGGTTGGCCTACACGGTCCCTCGGGTCTTTCCAGCTCTGAAGCTGGGTGATTCCCTCCTGGTGTAGGGAGCTCCGGGCAGGCACTTTGTCTCCGTCCCCAGGTCTCAGAGAGTGACTTGGCCAGGGTCACAGAGCCAGCACGTGCCCGCGGTAGGTCCTCCCAGCTCTCCACTCATTAACCCACACCGCCTCCCTGAGCTGCGCCCAGGCTGGACTGGAATCTGGAGCACCGTGCTCTCGTCCATTTCATGCTTGGGGGCTCGGGCAGCTTGACCTCCCACCACCTCAGCCCCTGTTCATTCTGTACAGCTGCCATGGGGCACGTTTGTAAGGCTGGTCTTCCGTTTGGGTGTGGGCCTCGTGTGACAGTGGAGGAGACTGAGGCTCGGGGATGGTCACCCCAAGTGACCGCTGCCTGAGGCAGGATTCGAAGGGTCTGCGTGGCATTTCGATGTCTCTTCGGCTCTCTCCCCAGCGTGCTTTTTCTAGGGCATTTCTCATTTTCTTTCGTCCCTGTCCCCCGGTCTGTGAAACCCCCTTTTACTTTGGGTCCTAAGGAAGGACCCTGCCTTGCTGGCCTGCCATGCTCCCTGCTGCCACCAGGGGGCGCGCCGGCTCAACCTGATGGAGCCTGGGGGACAGGCGCTCGTGGCAGCCGGCTGTAGTTGGCTCTGGCTCGGATGCAGGTACCCTTTGACAAAGGGAGCTTCTGTGGACACTGCTTCACTAGAGGCGCAGAGGCCCCGGAGGCCACGGGTCGTCCAACGTGGCCGGCCAGCCGTGCGGTCTTTGGAGAGGAAGGGTCCACCGCCAGGGAAGCTGTGGTGGCCATCTGGTCAAGTGTGTCTCATGGAAGGCCTCTAAGGGTGGAGAAGAGCCGCCGGCTGCTGGGGACCTGTCCACCCCGTTCTCAGGTCTGCCCTCTGGGGCTGGCCAGGAGGAAGTCTCCCCCCTCCTGCACAGCCTTCTCTTCTCCCACCCAGACCTGCGGGGTCCCTTCAGCGTGATGGGCTCTGGCCATGAGTCCCCTCCTCTGGGAACGCTCTCTCTCACTGGGACTGCTTTGGATTTACTCCATCTACACATAGGTCTCTGGCTGCAGACTGGAAGCGCCCCGAGGGCAGGCACCGTTTCTTTTTGCTTGTTTTTGTATCTCCAGCACCAGGCACATCTTGGCTTAAAATTTTAGACCAGGCCTGTGATTTCATCGATGTAGGGATCTCCCAGTGAGGGAAGTCCCTTCACTTATTTATGTAAGCGGCACCTGTTCTGCCTGGGACCCAGAGTGCCCTGTGCTCTGCAGGGTTTAGGGGCAAGACTTCAACCAGGTGTTCAACCAGGACTCCAAGGCCTGCTCTCTGTGCATTATTTCCTGCTGTCTTTTGCCTAGCATATGTGCTGCTTAATAAATATTTGTTGAAGTGCGTTGAATGAACAATACTGTCCCTTTAGGAGCTTATTCCAGACTCATCCCAGGAGCTCCTGTTTCGGACTCGTCTCCCTTTAGTACTCAGATCACATTTTGCCCGTCTCTCGTCTCTCTCTCCCTCTCCCTCCCTGTCTCTCCCTCTCCCTCTCCCACTCTCCATATATATATGTGTGTGTGTGTGCGCGTATGTGTGTGTATATATATATGTATGTATATGTATGTGTGTATGTGTGTATGTATGTATATATACACATATATGTAGGTGTATATATACATATATGTATGTGTATATATAAACACATATATTTATATGTATATATATGACTTTCCAGCGTAGAAATTCCCTTCTTCAGTGTTGCTTTTTTTAAATTAAATTTTATTTTTTCAATTAACCAAAATCTACTTTTGCTCTCTCCCACCTCCCTTTTTCCCCAACTGGAAAAGAAAGAAAAATAAAACCCTCTCACAAACACATAGAGATAGTCAAGTAAAACAGCTTCCCGCGGCAATCATGTCCCAAGGAAGCCCACTCGGTCTCATTGTGTAACCTTGAGTCCCCGCCTCCTGTCGGGGGAGGGGGGGGCTGGGCAGCATGTTTCATCGTGGGCCCTCTGGCGTCTTGGGTGTTCTTAAGTCTTTCCAGATCGTTTGTCTTCACGATGACGTTGTTGTGGAAATTGTTCTGGTTCAGCTCACTTTGCTCTGCATCAGTTCATCTGGATCTTCCCAGGTTTTTCTGGAACCATCGCTCTCATCATTTCTTAGAGAACACGAGTATTCTGTCCCATTCATATGCCACAACTTGTTAGCCATTCCCCAGTTGATGGGTATCCTGTAAATATTTTTATACATATATTGGTGCTACTCCCCTTTCTTTGATTTCTTTGAGACTCTGGTAGCAGAGTCTCAAAGGGTATGCACAGTTTAATAGCTTTTTGGGCATAATTCCAAATCTTCAGAATGGTTGGACCAGTTCACAACTCCACCAACAATGCATTAGTGTGCCACTTTTCCCACAGCTCCTCCAACGTCTGTCATTTTCCTTTTCTGTCACTTTAGCCGATCTAGTGGGGATGAGGTGGGACCCCAGAGTTGTTTTAATTAACATATCAGTCATTAAACATTTATTAAGTGCCTGCTGGGTGCCAGGTACTGGGCTAAGCATTGAGAATACAAAGAAAGGCACAAGACCGTCCTTGTCCTTAAGGAGCTCACAGTCTAATGGGAGAAGATGAAAGTGGGGAGAGGTTCCCCAGCACGGGGGCATGATAGAGTCCTACAGCCCAGGTGGGAAATGATCCGAGGAGGGCAGAGTTTCAGAGTTGATTTCGTCTTGAGGAAGGATGAGTTTCAGAAGATCCTGAGTCCAGGAAAGCAGCTTGGCGGGGAATGATGAGGTGGATTCTCTGGGAGCAGCTCCCAGGTGCCTGTCCCCTGCCCTCTCCAGAGGAAAGGAGGGGTCTCGGGGGCAGAGAGTGCTGAGGAAGTATGACACTCAGAGTCAGTTTTCCTTGAGGAAGGATGAGTTTTGGGGAGGTCATGAAGTCAGGAAAGTAACAGGGTGGGGAAACGAACATTTCTCTGATGATGAGTGATTCAGGCCATTTTTCCATATGAATTTTGAGAGCTTTGATTTCTTCCTCAGAAAACTGCCCATTCTTATTCTTTGACCATTTATCAATTGGATATAATTGCTCTTATTCTTATAAATTTGAGTCAGTTCCCTATATGTCTTAGAAAAGAGAGCTTTCTCAGAGAAACTTGGTGCAAAGATTTTCGCTATTTACCCACTTCTGTTCTAATTTTAGCTTCATTGGTTTTGTTTGAACAAAAACTTGTTTGTTTTTTTAACTTTATGTCATCAGAATTGTCCGCTTTACCTTCTAGATCCCTCCATATCCCTTGATTGGTGGGGAACTTTCCCACCTCCATAGATCTGACAGGTAATTTCTTCCTTACTCCTCTGATTGGTAGGTGGTGTGAGATGGTGGTCTACACCTACTTTCTGCCAGATTGCTTCCCACTTGGCCCCAGGTGGGTGGTTTTAGTCAAATAGGGAGTTGCCCCAATAGCTGGGCTCTTTGTGTTTAGCAAACACTAGGTTTCTTGTGTTTGTTTGCTTCTGTATGTTTTGTACCAGATTTGTTCTCCTGATTGACCTCTCTGTTCTTACCCAGGACTAGATTGTTTTGAAGATTGCTGATTCACAGTACAGTCGGAGATTTGTCCTCCTAGGCCTGCTTCCTTCCTGCTTTTTCCCATTATTTCCCTTGAGATTCTTAATCTCCTCTTCCTTCAGATAATTGTTAATTTTTCCCTAGCCCTATATAAAGTAATTTTTGGTAGTTTGATTGGCATGGCATTAAATAAGTAAATTAATTTAGGCAGAATTGTTATTTTTGTAATATTGGCTCAGCCTGCTTACTAGCAATTAATATTCCTTTAGCTATTTGGATCTGTCTTTATTTGTGTGAAGAGTAATTTGTTGTAACTCATAGTCCTAGAGCCATTTTTTTTGTCCCAGACCCCTCTGGGAGTATTTGGTGAAACCTGGGGACCCTTCTCAGAATAACGTTAAATCCGTAAAATAAAATGTAGAGGATTACAAAGAAAATCAATTAGATCAAAATACAATTACTGAACTATTTTTAAAATCAGTTCCTGGACCTCTGACTTGGGTGATTTCCTCAAGGGAAGGTCTGACCGCGTCACTCAGTAGCTGCAGAAGTCTCCTGTGGCTTCATGCTTCTAATCCACAGCCCCCTGGCTTCTGCCTACCTTTCGCACCTCATTAGCCATGCCTTCCCTTCCTGCACTCATGGTCTTGCCGAACAGGGCTTTTTTCTGTTCCCCTGACGTGACCTTCACCTCCCATCTCGGTGAGTTTGCCCAGGCTGTCTGGCATACCTACAACGCACTCCCTGGCCCTTCAAAAGCCACTTGGCACATGAACCCTTTCCTGATGCCCCCTAGCTTCTGGTGCTGTTCCCTCCACACGCTTCTCCATACTTGCATATCTTTGCTCCGTGTAGGTGTGCATTTCCCCTCTCCCCCCCGTAACGTGAGCTCTTTGAGGGAAGGTCACATAACTAGTGAGTGTCTGAGGTGACTGACCCAGGATCCTAGCTCCAGGGCTGGACAGCTGGGGAAACTGAGGCCCAGAGCCGTGACGTGACTGCCCGGGGTCCCGCCAGCTGGTGTAAGAGAGAGGCAGGCCTGAGGGCCAGCCCCCTGCCCACTCTGACAGCCCTACGTGCTGGTAAATGCCATCTCTCTTTCCAGATAAAGCCATGGTCGGAATTGTCTTGTCCAGTCAAGGTCTACTTCTGTATCACGCTGGTGTCTCTGCTGAGCATCATCGGGTTAACCATAAAGACCCTCGTGCAGAAGTCGGATGAGAACTTCACCATCTCTCTCATTCAGCTCATCGGCGTTGGTAAGAGGGAGCGCCCTGTGCTGGGAGGGGTCTCTGGTGCCTGGATGGCGCCCTAGGGTGGGGGGGACTGCATTGATTCTGCTTGTCTCCGATTTCCCCCTTTCCTATTTTACTTGAGTTTTCAGTCACAATCCTCTGATGAGCAGGAATCTGAAATTCCTGTGGTACCAGGAGCTGTCCTCCTGCTTGGCCTGGCACACAGTAGGCGCTGGCACACAGTAGGCACTTAATAAATGTTTATTGACCGACTGAGTGACTGCGCCACCCTGCCCTGACCATGGGAGCTGCTATTCCCTCCAGTGCTGGGGATGTGCCAGGCCCCGCCACACAGCCTCCAGTAGGTGTGTGAGCAGAGGCCTACCTGGGGAGTGCCGGGGCACACAGGAGCCACAATCAATGCTGGTTGGCCCAAAGTGAGGTGAATCACCTCAGGGAGGGGGTCGTCCCTCCCCAGTGAAGTAGGAACCCTCATTCAGTTGAGAATTCGACGGCCTCCCACATGCCGGGGACCTCGCAAGAGTACCAGCCTCTAAAATCTTAAACACAGGGAGCGTGTGGGCTCCCCGCAAAGAGTAAAGAAAACACAAAATCTTAGCACTTGAAGGGACTTTGGCAAGGTGGTGCAGCTCTCCTGTACTGTGGATGAGGAACCTGGGTCCTGATGGAAGGGGGGGACCTGCCTGCTGGCCCCTGGGCTGTGAGTCCTGCTGGCCATGGGAGGGAGGGACAGGGCGGCTTCAGGGGAGAAACTGCCCAGACACCTCCCTCCACTGTAGAGGACTGGCCCCTCACGCCCTTCCTGGAGATGCCATGAAGGCTGCCGCTTTTCCCCTCCCTCCCTGCCATCCCAGCCCTCCTCTCCCCTCCCTCCCCCCCTTCTTTCCTCCTCCCCCCTCCTCTCTACTCCTTCCTCCTTCCCTCTTCCTGTCTCCCCCTCCCTCTTCCTCTCCCCTTCTCCCCGCTCCCTCCCTCCTTCCCTCACTCCTTCCTTCCTCCTTTCTTCCTCCTTCCCTCCCTCCTTCCTTTCTTCCTTCCTCCCTCCCTCCTTCCTTCCTCCCTCCCTCCCTCCTTCCTTCCTCCTTTCTTCCTTCC